GTTTCTTTCCTAAACCTTTGGCTGAAGTGTTGAATGTCAGAATTTTGATTAAGAAATTGTATTTTCTTTTATTTACATGCGTTATTCATTTTAGTTGTTGTTGCTGCTCGTGCTGAAAGTCTTCAAGTGTCGCAGTTTCTCTTATATGACAATGTTCTTTGTTTGTGATTCTGTAGCGCCAGTCTATGCGGTCCGTTGAAGGACAATACTCTTGAAAACTTACAAGGTTATTTAATAACACTACACCAGATCTCAGCTTAATGTTTTGTATTTAGCATTTTGCGATGTTGGATAAAACTATCCCTAGTGCAGGCTATATAGAATAGCTCTGTTTAACTTATCGCCTATACGAAATTCACTATAACTGATCCAGACACCGAGATATTCGAATAGATAATACTTCTACGTTACACGTTTATCATCAGAGTGATATTTGTTTTTTTTATCAATATAGTCACACACACACATACAATATATATATATATATATATATATATATATATATATATATATATATATATATATATATATATATATATATATATATATATATATATATATATGTGTGTGTGTATTTGGGGTGTAGGGAGACGAAATGCGACAACAATCAGCCGTTTGAAGAAGTCCTGCTGCGTAGAGACGGGGGGAGTTTTTCCCATTTCCTCATTCTCTCAATTATATATATATATATATATATATATATATATATATATATATATATATATATATATATTCGGTCATTTCCTTCATTTCAATAGGCCGTTGGTTGAAAAGCGTTTCGCATCGCATTCAAAAAAACTGTTCAAAACGCGTCAAGTTGGATTTGGTCGAGATCAAAACAAGCAAATAAAATGCGCGCAACATCACGGCCTAATATGCGCAAGTGAAATATTTGCCTGGTCGTCTATAACGAGTTTTACGAGCGCTTCAATCATGGCAAACGCGTTCAGGAAACTTTCATTACAGATAGAATTTACTTAAAGGAACGATCAATTAGCTTATCTTCATACCCTGCCTGGTGGCAAACGCTGCTGGTGGCACCAGGGGTGGCGGTCCCGCCATAGCCACCGAAACCGTGATATCACCCCTGGTCGTTGTATGTTAAATATATATATATATATATATATATATATATATATATATATATATAAAAAGAAATATAGTCTTAAGGTGTGCTATATTTATGGGATAAAGTGCTCAATATCAGAGATAGAGCGTGTGTAAATATAAAAGTGAACATAGAAGTCAACACTTAGAGGCGACAGTCTGTTTCATGCTATATGCAATCGTCAGGCCACATATGCTGGTATTATATACGTGATATAAACAAATTTTTACTACGTTAATAAATAAATAAATAAAATAAGAAACAAAAAAATAAAAACGAGCAATATAATTTGACCCAAATAAATAAACAAAGCTACTTCCGGTAAAAAATAATCGCCATAATAGAATACCCACAATGCACCACTAACCCGTATGTATATAAATAGCCGAGAAAAATAACAGCATATGTGGCATATAACAGCATACGATTGCATATAGCATGAAACAGACTGTCGCCTCTTCTATGTTCACTTTATATATATATATATATATATATATATATATATATACAGAGTGTTCCAAAAATGTGCTCAGTCTTTCAATGGCAATAAATGTAATGTTTATTGACTCCCAAAGAAGATTAACAGTTTAAATTAAATATTAGATGAAATTGAATTATATGCATGTTTATAAAGATTCAAACTAACCAACAGTTTTAGAGAAGTGATAGGAAGTCAAAAAAGTGAGTAAATGTTTGGGACATTTTTATCGACATGAGGGTCTAATGAAAAATTCTCGACATGATAAGAATGAATTCAAAAACTTCAATAAGTACACAGGAATAAGTACATTTTCATCTCAAATTTTCATTGTATAATGTTCAAACAATGTGATCTGTGGGGAAAAGTTGGGTTATGAACATTGATCAGTTTGGAAATTCTATTGAAATATATGATGTTTTTATGAAAATATATAGGGACTTATTGATGCATTACAGTAAAAATTGCTCAAATGAATGACGAAAATCCAGTTTGCTTATTGCCGACTAAAATATCCTTTACATCATAATAATTCACACCATTTTTCTAATCTTAGAAGAGGTTTGCCTTTGCTCAAAGGACAGTTAGGCGCATCACAGTTCAGAGTACCGGTAATTAATATTTTATTATAATTGACAGTGATGTTGTATTAAGCTGCCACGGAGTACAACATAACAAAGTTGTTTGAATTAATCATACACATATAAATTTATATTAAGTGACACAATTTGTTTTTCAGAGTGCCATGAATGCATACAAAGGCGCGTAAACAAACATAGATCCATCTATCCAAAACATAGATAAAAGTCACAAAAATTCAATCGCATACACGTGTCTTGGTATATTTCCAAAGATTGGCTTTTTTCATATATGTTGTGGATTCCGGGATGAAATCCGGTACCAATAAATAACAAACGCCAAGAATGAATATAGGAAATGTATTAACGTAATAATACAAACTGGTAATGCAGGTTAGTAGTTCCAGGAATACGGGTTAGTAGCAAAATATCTATACAGTCTTTGGTATTGAAGTATCGCTGTATGACTTCTTACTGAGTCTACGTGCTCGCTCACTGTGACTCTTGATCGCTACGTTCGTTCTGTCTGTCTGTTACCTTACTCTCACTCTTCCGATTACCTACAACCTTTCACTCCTCATCTCCTTGTCTTGCTCTCGAGGCTTCACGTAGAAGTAGTATATGTATATACTGGCTGAGTCCATTTGTGTAGAAAGGGGAGGACCCCTCAACAATATATCAAGCTGGAAGGAAGAATTTAACCTCTAAAAAATCATATCGCTCAAAAATATGTACAGTTCTCTCTTTTATAAAATCTTGAAAAAATATAACGTTAGAAAGAAAGTCCTGTCGCATTTGAAGAAGAAAAAAAAAACAGATGCTTCTTTGCTCCTAAATGGTATATCTAATCATTATTCCTTTTCACTATAGAAAACAGAATGTCATCTATTTTGGCAAATTTTTAATTCCTTGTGCGTAACATTCTTCAGGTTTTGTTGCAAAGAAACATTCAATATCAGTTTATACCTTTTCATAATAAACTGTTTTCTCTTTAAAATGTTTCAATGATGTGAATAGATGGACCAAGCTCGAGGATGTTGTAAAAATTCCATATTTAAGGCCATAATAATTTGTTAAGTGATTTGAGCAATGTGTGATATTTTCTAATCGCATAAGAGCAACACATTTTTATGATTAACTCATTAGCGTTTTTCTGCAAGTTTTAATGCTTTTCCGTAGTAACTTTTTCATTTTAGTTTAACAATTTGTGATATATATATATATATATATATATATATATATATATATATATATATAATTTTGGATAGAGTGTATCTGTAAAGGAACAAAATGGAAAAAAAGACAAGAGGAAAAACTATTCCTAGCCGACGCATTACGTGCTCTGAGGGGTTTTTTTTATCAAGACATTATATGATTTATTTTGTTGCAGGTGTTTATATACAAAAGCGAGGATGCCATTGGTTTATCGAGCCATTTAAGTTTGATAACGTTCATGAATCAGGTGGTTGAAAGGTCGGTGAATAAAACTTTGAGCTTGCATCATTTTTCCCTTTACAATAGCCCCCTCCCTACTATCTACATTTTGTATTTACACCCCAATAATATATTAAGTTCATATTAACTATGAGCTTTGAATCTGCGTTTAATTTAATGTTCTTCCCATGAGCCCCAGTATTTTTTTAAACAATCAACCGTAATAGTTCGTGCCTGATGAGTTTGATAGAACCACGAAACTTTAAGTTGCATTTCGAATATAGGTACATATTTATTAAAATATACTTCGTCGCTCAGTCTAACGACATTGAGCACTGTTTTGTAAACACCTTATATTAAATAAAGTAAATATTTATTTGCATAACTAATGCACATATATACAGTTGCTAATATCTAATATATATTATAATATTTGGTTTGTATCCACATTTATACCTATATAACTTGAAACTAATAGTAGTAGCCAGTCAGTGATAACCTGGTTATTTGAATTAATATTCAAAAGCTCTTCCATTTCTTGTGGCATGGAACACTTTTATTCCAGAAGGCTGTTTTGGGGCAGATTCTTTTCAGCGCTGCTCATTTTAATCCTGGATATATATATATATATATATATATATATATATATATATATATATATATATATATAAAAAATTCAACTGGCAAAGTTTCTCTGTTTAATTATTGATTATTTTGTTCCAGTCTTCAATCTAGACGTTGTATATTGGAATAAAAACACCAATGAAATATCCAACAAAATTTTATTCTTGATAAAGATGGAGACGGTCGAAAGTATTCGGACAAAAACAGCTGCTGAAAACACGAATCAGAGATATACTGCCTGAATATAATAGATCAACAGCTTTTTTCTCCTTATGTGGAATAATATGCACCAAATCCAACAAAATAATGAGGGTTACACTGATTATTATGCAGAAAATGCTAAATATTTACATAGAGGTCATAACCTGCCAACTCTGAGTAATTACTGATGGCATGTACTAATATATATATATATATATATATATATATATATATATATATATATATATGTGTGTGTGTGTATGTGTGTGTGAATAGATGCGCGTGAAAATGATAATAGCCCGGACAACCATTGTGACGACACTATTTTCGAAATTAATACATTTGTTCTGAAATTAAGCATTGACTACTTTCGTCATATGTCTTCATACTTCTCCTTACGGTGTAAGTTTTGTAAACACACACACCTGAGCGAAATCGGAATTTAAACTCGACCCGTTATTCTTAAAATACGTGCGGATAACCGTTAACGGCACATCCATCGATTTAATAGGAACGTAAAATCAATAATTTGCTACATAAAATTCTCAAATTATAAATAACATTATGCAAAGAAAACAAAATGAGAAGAGCCGGAGAAAATTCCACTAAACAATAGTAAGGGTAAGAAGAGAGAAATCCAAGCAATGGGAAAACGAGGGAATAAAGGAAGGAAGGATAGATAGATAGATAGATAGATAGACAGACAGACAGACAGACAGACATACGTACATACATACAATGAAGCGTTGAAATTTTCTCTGTCCAATCAATAATCACTTCCACCAAAAATTATGATCTCTGGTCATTTGATCAGGTTTTGATAGCGGATCAGATTTGATAATTCTAATCCCGCATGCTATCTCACCTTTATTCTTATATGCATGTGTGTATATCTTGCATATAAGAACACCAAGAAACATGAAATAAAGTATCTTATCTATTGTTCTCGGTAGCTTACAGAAGTAGCTAATATGTTTGAAAAAAGACGAACACAAAGTATTTTATGCATTCATCCGTATTTGTGTCGTATGTGTGTGTATCCCTAAATGTGGTTGCAAATGAACCAGCCCGTGTGCTTCGTCATGCATCACAACCTGATTAAAAGTACGGCGCATCCAAGAAGGAATTAAAAATGATAATATTTACTCATTTGGTCAGATAGTGCGAAAAAAGTAGGGTCGAGAACTTTCCTAGCACCCTTTTCTCGCAAATAAAACATCTATACTTGTATTCTGAAGCCGATGGAATATATGAGCGGACCTTATTTATATATAAAAAAAACAACATTCAAAACAATTGATAGTAAACATGTGGTGAAAAACTTTTTTTTTTTTTTTACTTAAGTTCATCTGATCCAAGAGTCACTCAAGGTTGGAGGTTACTGTTAAAATAGCTGTGATGAGATATACGTTATGAACGTGAGAGGAAGTTGAAGGAAATGATGGTTATGCGGATAACGACTTGAATAGTTTAAGTTTGAAGTATTCATGGGGAAAACAACTTGGGAGTCAGTTGGGTGGGCAGTTTCAAAAACACATGCTCAAATAAAGCACGTAATCTAATAATTTCACAGAAGTTGTGGGGGATTCATTCACATCATAGCACGAGAAATTATGTGTTCACGGAGATAAAAGGAAATAAAACGTACACAACTAACAGGAAAATCAGGGTAAATTGTATGTTAATTTCATATAATTTATTTATATTTTTCGTGTGTATTGGAGTATATGTATTTTTAAGTTACAATTGTTTTATGGTACATGTGATGAAAGGTAGTATTTACTCATATTACAGAGGGAAGTTGGACACGTGTTGCTCGTACCAAGGTTCGTGGAGAAGAGACTGAATTTAACGTCTTTTGACGGGATGTCCCTATTTCCGACAGGAACATTTTTTATTGCATGCTGGTGGAGTTTTCCACTCAATTTCATCTTCCTGGCTTTTCCGTACTGTTTATTTGCAAACATCAAATAAGAAAGCACCAATCGTTGTTTGATCTTTTTCTCCATATTTTATAGCAATATAAACCATATTATCCCCGAAATAAGTATTTTTTATAAATCCAAATATAGTAACCGATATTTATCTATGTTAGTAAATACTTAAAGTTTTAAATGTAAGTGACGAATATTTACTTATACCGAAACAAGTAAATGCATATAATCGTATTATTTAAACGATCGATTCTAAACTATTCCCAAAATAAGTAAATGCTTATAGATTTAAATCTGAACAATTAATATTTACCTATACCTGAATAAATAATTGCTCATCGTCTCAAATATAAACGATCAATAGTTACTTATTCACGAACCAAATAAATATTTTTAGACTCAAATATAAACGAATAATATTTACCTGTTGACAAACAAAGAAATTTTTATGATATTTATTATAAACGGTCTCTACTAACATATCCCCTAACAAAGTAAATTCTTCAAAATATAAAGTAACCAAAATGTGGCTTTCCATTACACTACGTCTACGTGCAGTTAATACGGTAATTTTCTAAATGCAGCTTAGACGTGGCACAAAGAAATAAGTATGGAATACCACGTGAGAATCGAACTCACAACACGTAATTGATCTAACAATGTGCCGTTCATATGGTGATTTGCTAACCATCAGTGGCGCTAATATGCTTAGATGTGGAATAAGGCCGAATGTATGGGGCGCCCAATGAAGATCGAATTCGCCGTTCAGTTATAATTATTCTAGCGAAACAAGCTTGCTAACCATTACGCCATGTTGAAATGCTCAAACTAAATGCTCCTAAACACAAATGCAATTTTTAAAAGTCACAGATTTCGACATTAATTACCTAACCTAAATTGATATGTAAAATCCATCAATACAACCTGAAAAATGTCACAGCGTCCCTCTTACTGTGATTTTTCCTTTTTGATGAGGTTATGAAATTAAAGAATCAAGCATTATATTATTCATCTTACTACATTCTTCCTCATTAGATTTGATTTCTCCGTCATACTATTTACGCCTATTATTATTATTATTATTATTATTATTATTGGTAGTAGTAGTGTTCGAATTTTCTATATGAGTCATTGTCATTATACTTGTTTTAAATTCATTCACCCAAACCAAGGCAAAAAATGCCACTAAAGCGCTGGGGTGGTAACTAAAATAAGATAAAAGGTAAGCTAATCAAAATTAATAAAAGTGGCAATGTGTTTGGATCACTAAGATTACATTAAGTTTCACTCGGTGCATGTAAGAAATATTCATATTTGTAAATTTCATTTAAATAAAATAAAAAACATTTTTAGAAGAGCTCATGTTAACAACAATAACAGAAATTGTAATATGAACTTTGGTAAAAAGTGATTACGGAGAAGTCCCCCAAAATTCACTCACTGATGTCCCCAAGTATATATGGCCCACTGGATAAAAGCCTTGGCCACAGCAGAGGGAACAAAAACTTAGAGAGTTGAGTTACCAAAGTTAACTGATACTGAGATATCAAAAAAACTAAAAGAGAAAATGGACATGGCACGTGGAATTAGAACAATCTACCCCCGTAGACTAAATAAAAGTTTCGGTATGTCACCTGAAGAAGGTCGAAGCTTACAATGGTCGAAACGTCATGAATATGGCAATAAAGACGAGAACAACAGTCCGAACGATGTGAATAATGAAAATAGTTACAATATCTCATCTCTGAAATATAGACAGATAAAAAAGAAAAATCAAGCCAAAATATTATAAAATTTTTCCTTTTTCTACTATCTTAGAGCATCCTATGCATGAAAAGATGGACTGAACTGAATTCGGCTCGTTAACTTTATTAAATAAGAGCTGTGATCCCAAAAGATGAGGAACTGATTTTACTCAGTTCTCTCTTATCTGTTGATATACATGACGAAAGTTTACTTTAAGAGTGGTTCGAAGGCAGAACGCTATGAAAGAATGTTGTTGTCTACAAAAGAACTTCAACAAATAATACGTCGGGGTATACAGTGGCTAACGAACGAAATATAAACAGAGAGATATTCTTCGAAATTGGAAAGGGTCGTTTAAATAGATCAGGACTATGCACAAATGTTAGTTTAGGGAATATATGTGCGAGTTTTATGCGTGCAAGGAGGAGAACTCCCGGGAATAGTGAGAGCCCTGGAAACGAGTTATGATTGCAATTTACTCGAAAATCCAACTAAAGAGGAGGAGCTGCGTTTCTGTATAAACAACCTTTGCCTCGTTACCGGCATTTTTTATTCCTTACACGTGTACCATAACAAATAAATCATACATGCATATTTTATGTAAAACTATGCCCTTTCTCTCCAGCTTTTATCAGTAAAATAAAAAGAAAAACGCTTAAAAATGTAGTGTATCCATAATTGTGTGGACAAGATAGTATATATGTACGTCCCGTTCCGGGTGCTAGAATATAAGTGACAATACTTTTGTAAATATCTATAGGTAATGTTAAGTGCAAATAAAATTGCTCGCACACAGAGGGTCGGGCAGAAGTAACAACATGCTTATTATTTCTGACCTTGATAGTTCAGAATAAATTCGCATCGTTTTACAAACACTATATAAATAAACAGAGTACATATATATTAATTTATTAGCATGTACATCTACATATTCCGTGGCTAATGATGAAAACTGTATTTGTCTCACACGATAAATATTTATTTTTTAACGTAATATACTCTCTTGTCAATGCACTTATTTCACTGGTGAATGTTAATCAGGGAGATGGAGCATGATGCAGTGAACATTTTTTATCAAAATCCAGTTAATAAATAGGTGTCAGGCTACATATTTATTGATCCCCTCTCATAAAATTTCCTGCGATTTCGGTTTTTCCCATCTTTATTTCGCTTTGTGTATATAGAGAGCTACATCAATGAACCTGTTGTCTTATTATGAATCATATTATAGTTGAATTCTTCTTTATTTGAGAAGGACACTGGAAAGGGTAACAAAGAATTTTCTTGATCCTTTCACTCTTCAACTTGTACGGTCGTCCTGGGTCATTCCATCTGTTAAATCCTTGACCACCGTGTCAAAGGCATCGAATTAAGTGAAGAGACTTACCGTGAGATCATCAGACACAACATGAAAATTGTATCAGTGTGGATACTTCTCGCGAATCGGTAGAGTTCAGCTGAAGAAATATATATATATATATATATATATATATATATATATATATATATATATATAAATATTTTATATGGACAAAAAATTACTCACGACAAAGATGCAACTTCGTTTCGCTGCATTTAGTTTCACGTCGACTGGTGAGAATCAGAATGGTTATTTTGTTTGTAAGTGACCCGCACGTGGAACATCACTTCCTTTATTTATTTTTTTGAAAGAAGAAGGAAATTACTGGAAAGTAATTAAAACTCACCTGAAGCGAGCTGAGTTTCAATTACTTTCCAGTAATTTCCTAATTTGAATAAGTAATTTGAAAAAATATGAGTGCATTTTAAGAAGAGATATATAAGGATAAAGAAAAAAAATAGGAGAGGCAAAAAAGGTGACAGAGTGAAACAATAGTGTTTGTTGACATCAGTTTGTTAAATGATTGTTGAGGTGTTAAAGTGATGGCTCGACTCGAAAAAAATTTTAATTGACAACAACGGTCAAAGGTTTAGGCATAGCATTTTCAATCCTCCGAAGATTGAGGGTGAGGGAGGAAAGGTGAGAATAGGAAAGGGTAAGACAGTGAAAGAGGGAGTAGGGAT